GGAATGAGAACTAGGGGTAGACTCAGTTTAGTATGAGAAAGGCAGTTTAGTATGAGAATTATCATGTCCACTTGACAGAGGGGGGCCCAGGCTAAATGACTTGCCCATGGCAACCAAGCCAGTTGTTTCAGCAAGGACCAGACTCTGCCTCGCCTCCCAGGGCTCTCACTTCCATCCCTCCTTTGGCTGCCTCACCTGCTGGTGCCCATTCTTGCAGTGCTCGTCCATCTTCTCCTGTAAGACGGGTTCCTTGCACTCCGGGCAGAGGACCAGAAACAGCTGACAGTAGGCCTCATGGAGAACCAAGTGGGCAGAGGCCACACTTCTTTTGCTGCAGGATCAAGTGAGAAGAAAAACAGGCTTATTTCACGGTATAAAATGTGGAGCCATATTTCACATCCAGGGTTGCTGGGTTAAGATCTTTCGAGGCCTCAAGCACTGAAAATGTGATGATGATGCCACCTATCTTCCTTCCCCATGTTGATCCCATATCAGAAATGCAAAACCATAAAATAAGTGTAAGGATACTCTATAGCACTCTTATATTGCCCCAGCTAGCAGAAGTGGGAGAGAAAGATTACAAAGGGGCACTAGAAAACTTTTAGCGTGATAGATAGGTTCATTATCCTGATTGTGGTGATGGTTTCATGGATATACACATATGTCAAAGGGTACTCTTTAAAAATGTACCATAAAGGCAATTAATGTCAATTTTACCTCGGTAGAGCTGTTTAAAAGATGAAATTACATATATCAGAGTCTTTCAACTATTTTGTCTTGTTTTCAAGTGTTCCTCTGCTTGGCCCACAGCTGATTGGGCATCCAGCTCTGGCATACCCACACTTCCTGTAAGGGCAGTGCCAACTTTCAGAATCTCTGTGTTTCAGAGTGAGAAGCCATCCATCCATCCCCTGCCTCCAGGCTCACCTGTGTATCCCACAGAGAGGCCCTGAGTCCTTTCTTGGAGATCCCAAGGAACACAAGCTTCTGAGTCTTCCGGTTCCTGGGCAGGGTATTTCTTAACACTCCTTACCACGAAGAAATGCCTCCTTTCACTTTGATCAGCTCTTGCTCGCAGCAGAGCTGACTGAAGTGAAAGGAGGCGCTTTCACTTCACTTTCCCAGTTCTCTTTGTCCTGTCCCCTCAGCTCTTTCTCCTGAGCTGGTTCATACACCTGAGAGCCAGGAGGGTATGAATGGAGCAAAGATCTCTGGGCAGGATGTCCCCTGGTTCCCACAGGTGGGGAGCTTTGAGGGCGAGGCCCTTCAATGGCCAGTCTCCCCTGAGTTAGAGGTGTAATCCTGACCCTTGCTAAGTCTCTCTTATCTCACCCCACAGCTCCTTCTCAAGATGAGTGAGGAATAGTCTTGGGCTGGTGTGAAGATCATATGATCAGAACCCTGAATTAGGACCCGAGGTCTGATAAGTACGAGTAGCCCAGCAGGTACAATTAGCCTGGCTTTTTGGCTTTAGGACTATCCCAGAAAAATCTAGCCTATCTTGGGGGGCAGGTGGAAGGAGCAAGTTTCAGTGATGTACGGTAATGCCAACCACTTCTTATCCCATTATCTTAGAGATCTACTGAGTTTAAGCCTTCCCTGCCTAGGGAGCCACAGTCCCCACCTTGTCCTTCCTTTTCTCCTCATTTCAGAAACTGCCATATTCTGTCTGCTCCTCTCACTAGGGAACCTCAGGTCACCACTAGAGAAGCAGCTCCTTACCAGTTCCTGCACACCTTGAAGGCTCCCTCCATGCTCTGGTCTCCGGAGTCTTCTTGTCAAGTTTCGTTTCTTGCAGAAACAAAACTGAAAGCGATCCAATGACAGCCCAGCCCACGGCTTCAGGGAAGGAGGAGTTTTTCAGAACTCTCAGCCAGGGCTGCTTGAAGGTTCCTGTGGCTGGACACTCCCAGAAAGCCCTTCTGTAGCGTGGCCAGCCCAGCCTTCCCCCGCTTCCTCCCTTGGCCTGTACTGTCACCTTTACTGTAGTCACCAACTGTTTCTACTACCCTGAGGGTGGGACCTAAATTAGGTCAGGCCTCCCCCATGCAGCAGCCCCACCCCTCTCCCAGGCTGGCGTCACAGCCTCTGAATCTCTCCATCCCCTTCCATCCTCCTCTTGTCACTGGTCCTTCCTCTGCCTGAGAGAGGTGGTTTGCCTTGTTGAACTTAAAGACTGTTCTTTGAGAGCAGCTAACTCCTGGACTTCCAGTGTCCTACCTTAGCCCTGGTTGGTGATGACTTTGAAAACGGGGTCCAGGAGGAACTGGAGATGCAGAGTGATGTGTCCCAGGACTGCAGGCTTTGGGCCACATCACAGTGTTTTTTCTCTCACTTGTAAATAATTGTAGCAAATGCCACTATAACAGTAACAAGGTGACAGGCAAGTGAGGAAGGTTCTGTTTTCATCATCCCCATCTCCAGACAAAGAAACCAAGGGACTGAGAGGGTGTTGTAGCTTGCACATTGCATAGCTAATAGGCAGTAGAATTAGGCTTTGAACCAGGCAAAGCGGCCCTTGGCTTGTTTATCCTGGAATGGCCATAGGGTCGGTAGATTGGAGTTCATTCGAATCCTGAGAGTATAATTAAGTGGCAGCTTGAGTCACCTTAGCCTTTTGGGCTTCTGTTTCCTCCTTTTTTTGGACTCAACTGGGGACCAAGGGGATTTAGGTATCCAGATACTCCCAGAAATTGTGCGCAAAATTGCTTTGACGTGAGTATGTGCCTGTTCCCAAGGAAGAGCCAATGTTTTTAGCAGACACTCGAAGGGAGTCCACAACCCAGACGGTTATCAATGACTAGACTCATTAACCCAAAGATCTGAGAGTCAAAGACATCAAGTTCTGTTAAAAGCAACACATGTCCAAAATTATATGTACATTATTGAATCGAGTGAATATAGAACATTTTTATGTCTACTTGAGTTCTTTCCACAGGGAGAAGCAGGGTGCAACTAGTAGATAAATAAAAATGGTAAAAGAGGTTATCTAATTGCTCAGTGAGAATTGAGAAATTTGCAAATAATCGTAACTCCATTAGAAACACTTGGATATCATATACTTTATGTTAAAAAATTTTAGGAGATCTAATGCATATTTCTCTTTCCTGGAATTTTATTCAGAAAAAAAATCAAACCCATCTTTAATTAGCTTCAACATTCACCTTTATTGTTTATAAACACAGTGAAGATATTAATGTGTAGTTAGAGAATTTCGATTGTGGTTTTGAACATTAGTCTAAGCATTTTAATTTATTTTAACTTTAGTGAGCACATCATGTACATCACTTTACAATAGCTGACAAATACATAGCAGCTTTTCACTCATACATTAAGAAGTTGGTCCTGATGTTCAGAATGTCAGAAATCAAAAAGGGATCACTGAGGCAAGATGGGTATTTACTCAAAGCACTTAGCCTGGGGCCTGGCCATTTATTGTGGTTCTTGGTGCCGGGGTGGGAGGACAGTAGCTTCCAAACTTATCCACACATTGGAATTGCTTAGCGAACTTACAGAAAACCACAAATGCCTGCCCAGCTCCAGAGAGTATGATTTCACTGGTCTGGCATGTGGCTGGGATTTTGGAGTTTTTGAAAGGTCCTAGGTGATTCTAATGTGCAGAGAAGTCGAGAGTGACTGGTGTAGGAGGAAAAGGCTGGTTCTGAGTTCCAGAGCCAGCACTGTGACTTGAGCTGTGGCCCTTGGCTTTCCCATCTGAAGAAGAAGAGGACGGGGGCAGATGAATTTCACCGAAAATTCTGGAAGTGGAGATGTGCAGTGTGGGGACAGACACTTGGTGCTCATGGAAGAAAGACTAGGGCTGGGTTGCTGCAGAGCGAAGAGCTGAGATCAGTGGGTGGAAGTCCCAGGAGACCCTGAGCTTCTTCCTGGTCATTACCCTGTCCCTAGACGAACTGGTTAGGGATGGAGGGGATCTGGCCCCAGGAGTAAGGCTAGGAGAGTCTAGGATTTGATGAGCCCCAGCTCTCATGCTTGAAAGAAAACCCACCCAAGCCAAGGTGCAGACAAGCTCTTCATCTGGGCCAGTCCAGGGTAGCACACAGCTTAGAAGGGGTGGTGGCCTACTGGATAGGGTGCTGTGAGGATATGGAAACAGGATGTGTTGGCTGCTTGCATATCCCGCCCCCCACTCGGCCTGCTCAGTGGACCTACTCTAGTATGTATTCCCTCTAGGGTCCTCAGAATTTCCCCAGACCCCAGAAACAGCTGTGCTAACAGAAGGATTCCAAACCAGGTACTGAGCGATGGCATAAGCAGGCTGAGAATTCTTGTGAAGTCTGCAAATGCGGTGGGAGTAGTTTTTCTGAGGAGGATAACAAGATTAAGAAAAAGGCTCAGATATGGCCTCCAGCCTCCTGCCAGACTCGAAAATTCAAGTACTGAATGAAAGACAGTGTGAGGTAATAATAATGATGAAAATGATAGGAGGTAATAAATGAATGCTTAAACACTTTCTATGTTCCAGATATTATACTAAGCATTTCACAGGCATTATCTTTTTTTAATCTGCCTAACAGCTCTGGTGTAAGAATTATTAGTCCCATTTTACACTTATAGACATGAAGACACAGAGAGGTTACATACTTTGTTCAAGGTCACACAGCGGATGTCAGAGCTGGGACTAAAACCAGGTTGATCTGAGTCAGGGGTCTGTAAACCTAAGCAAGACACCATTCATCTTATTTGACAGCTGGTGGTGGGGGGAGACCGGGTTAGCATCCTGATTCCCCTCCTCGTCATCGGGGGAAATTCCTTAATCTCCTTGACCTTTACTTCCCACTCCTGTTTCCTTCTGGTTGTCTTGTGAGTATCAACATTAGTGAAAAAAACTGAGCTTTCGCACACGTTGTCTCCTGCTGAGATCCCCCAGAATGAAGGGGATGATAGAGATGTAGAGTGGGGTGCAACAGCGAGACATCCCAGAAAGACGGGAATCAGTGACGGGGGTGGAATTGGAAATGACCATAGTTTTTTCATCTACATTCTAATTTGCTTCCAAGATATTTCCTCTTTCCAGACTTTTCTGCCCCTCCAGCACCCCTTCCCTTACATATTAAAACTCCACCAGTTCTTCAGGGCCCACTCCGATGTTATCACTAATACAGGACCTACCTCCTCTGTCTCTGGTTATGGTTAGTTGCCTTTCTGTTGCCTCAACTTGCCCTCACCCAATCATGGTGTAGCTGATTTGAGATTCATCACCTTCTGCCAGAGAGTCCCACGTGCTTTGTACCTAGCAGACAATGAAACTCCATGCTTTGCAGTACTGAGCCATCAAATGTTGGCTGACCTGAATGGATGTGAAGGGTGTGCGTCTGAGGTAATTAGAGCAGAAGTTAGAAATCTCCCCTGACCCCTCCTGGCCCCAGAACCTGAGGGCTCTCAGAACAGCATCAATGGCTGTTTTCTTCTGAATTTTAATGACAACTTATGATTTTATAACTAATGCATGAATATGCTTTCTTTTAAAAAAATTAGAATATTACAGATAAAGTAAAATTTCTTTTTGATGACCATGCCTGCTCCTAAGCCATTACTATTTTTAACGGGAGTGTGTAACCAGGCACATTCTGGTTGGCACAAAAGCCTGTCCCCATTCCCATCACCATAGAATCAGAGCTGTGGGCTTGCATGATTTCATCATTCTGCCACCCGTCTTTGGCTGGTCACCAACCCCTCTCCAAACCCAATCCTATAAAAAACTAAATGAGAAATGCTCTGTTGTGAGCTTAGAATTCCTCTCCAGGACGCTGCGGCTACCCACTTGGCAGCTGTCAGGAGTTTCCGGCAGTCTCTTTGTTCAGGCCTGTGGGTCAGGAGAGGGGGGTAAGGGTTGTCACAGGGAACCAGTCCCTCAGACTGATTTGGCCAGGCTGCTCAAAGTTACCTTTCACTGAGAGGAGGAAAGGGCAAGCAGCAACTCTGGATTGGACCAGGAAGCAGGAATTATAATACACACCTCGATGCATGATTTTGAGGATAAAACGAGAAACTGTATGAAAGCTGAACAAGGTCATGAAGATGTGAGAGAACATTAAAAGAAGGTCATTTCAATAGTTGCCTTTGAAAAGTGATCTTAGTTAGGCTTTATTCTCTCAAGGGATTGCTGTGCTAAGGAAAATGATGTAATGACAGAGGTATTTCACTTTCCAGACAAAAATTACATGGTGGAATTGTGCCCACTTCTGTCGGCTGGTCATGCCTTTAGAAGGATCCTGTGGTCAGAGTGGGCCGTAATCCTGGGAGACGTGATCATAGAGATTGCAGTCTCCCCAAGTACAACATGTTTGGGTGGGAGTTTGTTTTTCAGACCATCTGCAATTGCATCAAATGACTAGTCTCTGGATGGAATTCAAGCCTGGGGATATCTGTGATTGTGTTTGGGGCAGACTCCGGGCCTGGCTGGGTGGCAAAGTCAGGGGATGCCCTGCTGGCTCCTGCTTAGCTGGCATGCAAAGAGGAGTAACCTTGTCATTACACTCGTGGGCAAGAAGCAGCAGCTTCGTGACCTTTGGTCTGCATTTGTGGTCCCAAGTACTTGTCCCTTTCCTTCCTCTGTCAAAGGTCTGTTTCAACACATTCTCAGCTCTTTTTCCTGGTTAAAGCCCCACCTCACTAACTCTCTCCACCTATTCCCATTCAATCAGCAATCACAACTCCCTTCTTTGTCCCCAAATGGACATTTCCCCAGGGCTTCAAAGGGATATTTGAAAGACAGTGATTAGTGGTCTTCTCTTTCTTCCCAGGTGATATTTTAGATAATGGTATGATCACCATAGTTGCTGCCACATCTCATGGGATACAGGACAAATGACCATGTACATCAAATCTTTTGTTGTCATTTTTTTGGGGGAGTGACAGAGGTAAAAATTCAGATCCTGAGCATTTTTTTATTATCAGAAATAGGGGTGAACTTACTGTACATGAGTAAGTTGTGATGAGCAGCTACTCAGACCTCATTTTAGTAAATAATTAGTGTCTTAA